TATACACACCGAACGCATAATTTCTACTTTACTACATCTTTTAGGTTGTGGTTTTGACTGACAAACACACAAGTTTCAGAAGACAGTTAGAACATGATTTGATGTCTAATGTTTGCACCTAGATGTAAACTACTGCGTCTAGGATTTTTCATCTGGAGGTCACTCACATTAACCTCAACAATATTGTTCCATTCCTGGTACCCTCCCTGCAAAACTCTTGCACAATACAAATAATTTTTTTGCCAGTTAACCATGAAGGCTAGCATTTTTCCAGCACCAGCACCATAATATGAATCATTACATTTCAAAATTGAATTTCTAATATGAGGTGAGAAGATAATATTGTTTTTTGGTAATTGCTCTTTTGTATATTTTGTTTTAATGCTATGATTTTGGACAGAAGTTCTTCCAAGACAGTGCCCGTATAGAAGCAGCTTTCCGAAAACATGTCCATCGTGCTGATAATATGCAGAGTGGTGACACTATTGAAGTTTACATCTGCCATGCCAATGTCATAAGATACTTCGTATGCAGGTATTCTTTATTAGATAATCACAGACAATTCTCTATTCGCTTTATTATTACTATGGAAATCATTCAACTGATAACACCACCAAAATGCAAAATAGCGATTGACCACATTTTGAATTTTGGTTAACTTACATATGACCGTTAGGAGCAGGGCATGAAATTGACTTTTAATCCCACTAGCAAAACCTCTCAAAGTCACTAGCGATCAGACGTGATGAATAACAAATTAATGTTATTTGATTCGGGTTCTAAACTTTTCAGTCCTTCAGTCTCTGGACTGTGTCCATACTCGCAAAACTTAGCTAGTTAAATTTTTTGTCACTAGCTTAATACGAAATTTCACCCGCATTTTACAATTTTTGAAAGCGTTAATCTCCAAATCATCACCTTACATTAATTTCCCTTCAAAATATAATGATCATGTGTACGAGTCAAATAATATTCAAAATGTCATAGAACATTATTTTGGCAGCGAAAAGTTGAATAATTTCAGTAGCATTTGTGATATTACTACCAACAGAATCCTTTTCCCAGTTCTAACATAGACAATATTATCTTAGGATTGCCAAAAGTGTCATATTTGACTAAGGAATAATTTTTTTTCAGAGCTCTCCAGTTTCCTCCTGAAGGATGGCTTCGTATGAGTATTGGTCACTGTGGTATAACAACCATGACGATAAGGCCAAATGGAAGAGTTTCTCTTCGAAGTCTTGGTGACACTGGACATCTCCCACCAGAGTATATCTCTTAGCTTTCAGCTAGTGAACATTACACATGACCAGTAAAATCTAAAATCTAGTGAGTCTTTAAAAGTAGATTAGATAGATTCTAGTAGATTTTAAAAGGACTGGATTGGAAACATGTGATGTCACACATGCAACTTTGATGATCCATGGTCTGATTTACAAGTCGCACAGCACAAATTACCGGTATATATGTACTGATCATTTATTTCAAAATATTCTTGACTTCTAAAGTAGACTTGGTCTTATAGCCTTGTGTCATTTTTGGAGTCCTTGAAATATTTTTTCATCCAATAATTTTTGAATTGAAAAATCAATAATAGCACATACTAATTGTAGTAGTAAAATATATTACTTTCTGCATGTATTTATAGAATAGAGGTTTGCACCATCACATGATGGCAGCCATGTTCACAATCGTTTTCCATAAGAAAGAATTCAATCTCCGAGAGCAAAGGGATGTTATTGTTATGCCATCTAACCACAGGCAGCCCAAGTTGTGGGCACATGATGGTGCAAACCCTCTATTACACAGTTTTCTTTCATTTTTTGGGGTATAGTTTAGATGGATTCACAGCTTGTTATTTATTAGGCTAATTAATTTTTTGTTATTTATCTTGAGCTCGGAAGTCAAAGATTTCTTTAATTTCTCTCATTGAATCTTTAATTATAATGTCAATACAAATGTACATTAATTGTAATGCATACCATTGTCAAATACTTTCTTTGATGTACAAGGCACCTAGTGTTATATGAATTGAAAAAATATGAATTGGTATATCATGACAGGCTTAAAATGACCAGTTAGTTGCCAGTCATGAGCACCATCCAAGTTTGTTCTAGCTCAGTCACACCACATTTCTGGCTCAACATTACTGGTCAAAATGACCAGGAAGGCAAAGAGTTGACCAGAAAAAATCCAATTCTGGCCAGACATTGTCTGATAACTGTCTTATTTTATGTCCTATTTTGAAATATTTATATTTTGGATACATCTTCAAGTGTTATCAACATTAATAAAGTGCACAATTTCACTGTCTGAATTTTATGAATTAATTAATTATCTGAATTGAAGATGTTTTTACTTATATTGTTAAGACAAATATTAATTCCAAACAGATCTCTGGTATGGAGATAAAATGTCTAATGTTACGAAGAATTCTCCATTTTTCTAATTTTCTTAACATGCCATTTGTGAGACTTTGAAGCTAGATGTTTTTCCCAGGTTTTGTCACCAATGATGACTCTGTCATCACAAACACCACAAACATGCTTTGTGTGAGCCCCATTTGGATCTGTAATATTTCTCTCCAGGGGTTTTACATTAGGTATCTCATCATTTATGATGGCATCTAAAATTAATATGGCTCTTTCAAGTACACTTTGATTCCAGAGTTCTAAATCTGTTGCATCAAGACCATAGACATCTGGTGCTGCTCCCTTTGGTCTGGAAAGAAACCTATTCTTTACCCATTGCGTTTGTTTCTTTGCATATCTTCTTGTGATGGTTTTCATTGAGTCCACACAGTTTTCAAAAATCTCTTTATGTTCATTGACAAGCATGTCAATATTCTCTATTTCATTAAGATTTGGCTTCAACAAGAACTCATGAAACTCTTTGAATCCTATGGACTGAAAAATCCCTTCTGTGTACTTGGCACCAACATTGTCGATTCTTTCCTTGTTGTAAGCTTGGTGGAAGTCTAGTAATTCTTTGACCAATCCATTTTCAATCATCTTATCAACCCTCTTATCAAGTCTGTCATTTAGTACTTCTTTCTCACACTGTAACCAGAACACACAGGTGAAATCAAATCGCAAAGGACCACCAAAGGCTGTGCCCCCTTCTTTCGTACGTTGATCAACAAGCAGCTGACTATGAGGTATGCCATGATGTTCATATACTTGTAAGCTCCTGGCAATTTTTCTAGTGTCATTTGGATGTAATCTGGAAGCCATTTCAGGATCTATAGTAGCAAGCTTAGTATGCAAGCTTGGTTTTTCTTCACCAGGAATAGAACCTGTACTTTCTAAACCACCATTGCACTCTATAACTTTTCGCCTTTTGATACTAAAACTTTCATTCTCTTCTCCAGAAGAAAGAGTTTCTGACTCCTTTTCGTTTTCAGCATCAATCAAGATATCCCATAGCAATGACTCTATATAATAGTTTGTCCCTCCCACAATAATTGGAATCTTGCCACGCTTCTTAATGTCGTCTATCAATGGCAGAGCTAGATTCCTGAACTGAACTACTGAGAATTCTTTAAAAGGGGAAACAAAATTGATAACGTGGTGTGGACACTGTTGAAGTTCCTCTTTCGTTACTTGGTTCGTTATTATTGGAAGTCCGCTGTAAACTTGCATGGAATCTGCGCTAATAATCTCACCTCCTATTTTCTTTCCTATTTCAATAGCAAGTTTTGATTTTCCAGTGCCCGTGCAGCCTAAAATCACGACCAAAGGAAGACGTCGAACACAAGTACTCGCGGCCGCCATTTTGAAAACACAGCACCTAAGAACCTCGTCTTGAAGTTGAGGTTAATGATGTACAGTAGGAACGCCTGGTTATTATGATGTTTCAGCTTCGCAAAAATACTGGTATATCTTATGATGGAGGATAAAAAGAGGAAAAAATTCGGTTTAAGCTTAAAAAATACCAAAAAATTAGCGGTGTCAACAAGCGAAATAAAACTGATAAAAGAGCAACGTTTATTAAAGACTCCGTCAGGTTCAAACTCCAAAGAACAAAAAGATATAAGTGTTCTTGATGCTCGAAGGCCAAGTTGTATGGAGGACTGTGGCTTGGAAAGAAAGTTAAAGCCTTCAGTAAACACCTTAAGAGAAGAAAATTTAGTTGCTGTTGATAATGAAGAAGAACACGAAAGGTAGGTTTGTTGCCAGAAAGTCAAACTTTTCATGCATCTTCCTCAATTTTTCCACAGTCAAGACTATGTTTTGTCTCCCGTCTTCAATGAATAAAAATTAATAGTGTAGTATTTTGTTAAACTTTTTACAGAATTTTATGGAAACACCTATTCTCCGTAAATAGTTCTGCCAACTGGGAGACAATGGAGGATTTACCAATATCTGTAAGTGAAATAAGAAGACAAGAGGATAGCAACAACATCATTTCTAGTTCACCAAATCTAGATTTCAAGACAACTCAGACGACTGAAACCTTTAATGTTGATTCGGATTATAAAGATTTACCAAGACCTTGTATTACTTGTTATGCAAGAAAACCCTGTCGGCTGACATGGTCACAAGTTGATGACGAAAAAAGAATGGAAAATAATGATATTTATCATATCAACCCATCTCCAAAAGATGCAGCTTTAGATATGAATACCTCCAGTATTAAAATGAATTTGAAGAATAATGTTGGTTCTCCTACTTTCTTTCAAAAGAAGACTGGAGACTCTTTAAAAGATGAAACCAATGCCAAAGCTGTAGCTTCAATTAACCAAAATATAGAATGCAAGAAAAAATTTCATTTTCAAAATAATTTAAACAAAAACAAAAAAGTCAAAAATAATACTGAAGGATGTTTCAAATCTGGTCCAAGTAGTTCAGGTTTAAGTCAAAGAACTACAGAAACATTCATTGATTTGACAATCAGTGATAAGCCAGAAAAAAAGTCAGTAAACAAACAAAAATTTGGGATGTTTGTTGACTTAACATATTCAACAAAAGAACAGTCATTAGGCAAGCAGAATAATGATGTATTTCATAAGACACCATCAGGATTGACCAATACAGATTTGAAGGTTAAAAGTGAAGAGCAAAATTCAATTCTAGGTGATTCAGGAGCAAAAGGAAATGTTGGTGTAGTGAGGAAAGAAATCCTGAAATATTGCCCAATCTGCCAGTTTCAATTTCCTCAAAGGTAAATATCATTATCCTCTATGTATTAAATGTAATACATGATTATTCTTCTCATAGTGAGGGGGGACGTCACTCCAAACGTTCGCTTAAAATGAGACTAAAAATCATACTTTTTATTTTTTTGTGAAAGATGATTTAAGTCTAATTATTTCTTTTTCTTTAAGTAGTTTTTCTTTAAATACTCATATGATTGCAAGTTCCTGTGAATATGGCAGGAAACTTTAAACATGAAACCTGTATGCATTTGTTATGGTGGGAAAATGGTACATTGTCCCCCTCTTCCAACCCCCCCCCCCCCCCCCCTCAAGACCTCGCCACACCCCTGGTGATAAATGTATGATGCATGTGTTTTGCAATTTTTTAGAATGAATAAACAAGGAATTGATCAACATATTTCAAGCTGCATTGGAAACGAGGAACTCTTCGTAGATGATGACGAGGAAGACTGGTAGCTCAAAATACCTATTTTTTAAATTACAAAATTGTAAAAATAATAAATTTTTTTCAAGAAAGGAAAATAAAGAACATTCCCCTGAGCATTGTTCTTTTATGACTAACACGTTAAAATAGTTATATATGAAAGAATCAACTCCCAAGAGTGGTATCACATGGTCTGAAATAAATGTGCACGACAAACAACGAAGCGAAACATGTCTTTTGGTAAACTTGTGGGCTACCTGTGTTTCACATCTTTAACAGGGCCTGGTAACAAAGTCTTGCCACATCGATCGTATGGTTCGTCCTGAACACACAACCTTTTGTTCTGGCGAAAATTTTAAGTATTTATAGGTCTCTGGCTCGTTTTGGAGTCCTAAGTTTATAGGACTTTATCTGGCTTGAAAATGGCAGCGATCGCAGAGATCTCTACTTTACAAGAATGGGACGAAGAATGGAGGACTGTCGAAGATGACTTACTAAAATTTAAGGTCAGTGACGCGCGCCATTTGAATTCAGCTCAATAAGAATTAATCGCGACTTCTTTTGTTAGTGATCTTCTAATGATGCAGTCTTTAACTTAACCCTTTCTCCAGCGGTCATATAATGAGAAACATTAATCTAGATTTTGTCACAAAATTCTAGATAAATGGATTTTTTTTGGTTCGACTTACTAATTTTAGAATATAGTTAACCTGGGCCTTTTATCTAATCTCATTGGAGAACTGTTTATGAAACTAGGTTAACATGAACTATGAGGGCAATAAAAACTCCCCAAAGTATTAAACATCCATAATATCAGGGACTTTTCTTGTTTTCCTGCAAGACTTTACAGGCAAACATGCCATATCAGATAATTCAATATTTGGATCTTGGCCAGATTTAATATGTATTTACTGAAAACATCGAAAGTTCAAGGCTAAGTTAGAATAAAAGCTAGAAATGGATAAAAGGTGTGATTTAAAGATTTGACAGCGAGATAAGACAGTTTTGTTGATGTTGCCAAGATGCATTTGTTTAAGTTTGTGTAAAAGGTTAAAGGAAGATTAATTTAAAACGGATACTAAAAGTTTTTTGTTTGTTTAGTGTCACCAAATTATATAATTAAGGGGTTATGCAGAAAAAATTGAACAAAGAAAAGCAAGTCCTTTGCTGCCACGGATGGAGGAGGGAATGTTTTATGACTTTTTTCCAATTTGTTTATGGTAATAATCTGGAATATATTATTATGTAGCAACTAAAGCTTACCATTGTCTTTTTCTTTTCCACCCAGACTGGACAGTTTTTAGAGTATCAGAAAAAAATGGATGAGTTTCATAAAAGTCAAAAGTCATGTTTATCTATGGTCAACTTAATGAAAAGAAAGATCAATGACTTTGATAAGGCTCTAAAAAGGTAATACGATAACAATAGTTTTCCACTAAATCCTTAATTAAGAAGTTAAATTCAATGTAGTTGCCTTCAAAAATCTTGGAGTTATGACATATATAACACAGGCGCGGATCCAGGGGAGGGGTGCATGGGGTGTGCACCCCTCCCTGGTTCGACTTTGTGCCCCAACTTCAAAGATAACCAATACTGTTTTTTTCCCTGGATTCTAAGGGGTGTACCCCTCCCTGGGTTAACTTGGTGCACAGCACCTCTCCCTGAACAAATCCTGGATCCACCCCTGCAACAGCCACGCTACAGCACAATTTGCAAAAGTATGACCACATTGAATGTATTCACATGCTAGCTTCTATATGCTTAGGCTTTGCACTGCCAATTATTGAGCTTTTACATGTCTTATTTTGAAAAGCAGCCAGCTTTGCATCAAAATTTTAACGTATTAAAGTCTGTGTAGAAGTACGAATACAGTAAATGTGGTCATACTTTTGTGCTACAAAGTGACCTTGTACAGCTGTATGTATCTCAACTCGATCATATTTAATTTTCTTTACATTGTTTACTGGTTTTGTTTATAGACTTGAGAAGCAGAATGATACTCCAGAATCCAAAAAGCTGGTAGTAGAGCTACGCTATAGGATAGAATTGCTTGAAAACAAGATTAAAGAAGTGCAGAGATCTCTTCCGTCAAGTGCAGGGTATGTTATAGTTACATAAGAGCAGGCAGGTAGATGCTTTGCCCCATCATGTGATAGTAGCCATATAGGAGGTAGGAACTCAATTGAATCTTGTGGAATCTGGTTTATATATGAGAAAGAAATCAGTTTCTAAGGGGGAAAAGGCTCTATGGTAACCAGTTGTGCATCTGTCATGGGTGCCTTCATGGATGGTGCAAAGCCTCTATTGCTTGATATACTATTAGCATACATATGATACTGTAATAATTAATTTAACATTAGTAGTCTGTGTACAAAAAAACGTTTTTTCCCCGAGGGGGGGGGGNGGGGGGAGGGGTGGGAAGCGGCTGTACACAGGCTAAACATTAGTGACGATAAATTAATTTTCTTATCAGGTCTTTTCTGAGGTTATGTTTAGGAGACATCAATGTTTCTTTATACAATAAAAAGTAAGTGATATATCACATTTTAGATATATATTACATGTGATTAAAATCATGTACCTTGTGCCACATAAAACAACAATTGTGATTTATGAATTTTCTCTTAAAATTTCCAGACTTGAATACAAAGATAACTATGAGAAGTTTAAGCTCAAGATGACAATACTTTGTACAGTATTTGCTTGTTTTAATCTTGTCTGCAATTACAGGTATGTACTTAGCGTGCATATGATGAAAGGTGCACCTGTATAGTTCCTCACTTTGACACTATAGGTTTTGCTGCCTATCATTTTGATCAATCAATGTAATGCTTTGTTTTGCATATTTTTGCAGGCTTACAGATAGTTTATTTCATGGGGTACTTGTGTGGTACTACAGTACGCTTACACTACAAGAACACATTCTAATTGCAAATGGGTCAAGGTAGTGACATGAATTCATCCTTTGGTTAAGTAACATATTTAATAAAATATGATCCATTGAATTAATAATATGGGAAGGGGGGAGGGGCTCATAACAGCAGTGGTCTGGAACAAAGCAATGGGTGGCAACTAGGGTGTTGTAGTGGTACAACACATTTTTTCCCACCACTCTGAGTTCTATGCGTTGGCCAGGGCGGTGGTCCCATTTATGCTGATGCCACATGTGAATAGAGTTTGTTTGATGTGTTGTTCTCTTCCTTGCCACATTTTTTTTAAGTTTGTGCAAAAGGGGAGGGGAGGAGAGGGGAAGGGGTGGGGGTGACTAGTCACATCCCTCACCTCCACAGCATCTGCCCCTGTTGTTTTATACATTTTAAGTTTTCTTTCAACCGTTGACAGGATAAAGGGCTGGTGGGTGTTGCATCACTACTTTTCGATCCTTTTGTCAGGATTTCTTCTAATCTGGTGAGTAAATAACAGAGATGTAACACAGGTTTCAATATATTGAATTATAAGTCAGATTATATAATATATTTATTGTTAACTTTGTTATTTCCAGGCCTGACGGGATAATTTATCAGATGTTTAGAAGACAGTTTTTCCTATTTTCTTTGTATCTCAGTAAGTACATGGTTTCTTCTTGCTTTTGACTCAATGGTGCAAAACCTCCATAGGGTGGGGATACTTAAAAGGAATTTTAAAATTGACCCCTAAAAGATACCTAAGGCCTGTTTAGGTGGGTGTAGAAACTAATTGTAGCTTTTACTCCTTAATGTTACCAACTTTAAAACAATTTACTCATTTATCCATGACTGCTATCAGCAGAAGTCAGATGACGAACCAAAAATGAATATCCTGAATTATATCCTACAAGCAAAATACCCCTTCCATGGTGCCAGATTAGGCTAAAAAAATAATCTAACTTTGCATTTGCCTTTTTGTACTCTTTTCCAAGATCTCATGTATAATGTTTACAATCTAGTATAACTTGTGCATTTACATTACTTATGTAACATTCAATTATGTATTGTCCAGGTTTTGTCCAGTTAATCCAGTTTAAGTACCAAAGTGGTGTCATGTACAGATTAAGAGCTCTGGGAGTTAGCCATGGAATGGATGTCACAGTTGGTATGCAATATTACTCTCTAGCTATATCTTAGTCACCTACTCTTCTAAGCCAGATTATGATTACTTCCTACAAACCTTCAAGACTTCTCCATTCTTCAAACTCTCTTCTCTTAAAAATACCAAATTTACAATCTGAAAACTTATGGTGGACGATCCTTCTCTTTTGCTGCACCTGAACTCTGGAACTCTCTACCTCTATCTTTAAGATCCTGTCAAACTGTCCTTGAATTCAAGTCGCAACTTAAAACTCATCTGTTTAAAAACTATTTTGGTTTTTAGTTATCATTAGTTTTTGATTATCATTGTTATTATTATAGCACATAGAGCATTCATTTGGATATGCACTATATAAATGCACTATCATTATCTTACACTCCCAAACTTCCCTTATAATATAATATTCTCTCAAGCATATACAACCTTTACTGCTGTTTTCAATATTCTTCAAACTTAGTAGTCTCAAGCTGCATGCTGAAATTGGTTTTTCGCTGCCGTCAATCAAAGATGATTAGTTGGTACCTTTTATGTTCTTGACTGGCCAAAGTAAAAAACCAATTTCACAACAAGGCATTGAAATGTCTGACTTTGCAGAATATTGAAAGTCACAGGAAGGATTATACTTATTTAGAACATGCCATATTTTCTTCAGCCAATGCCACAAACATGAGAGCTCTGCAGATTGGATTGTGCACAAATGAAAGTATCTGATTGTGAAGTTGCTAAACTTTTTTCAATTTGTTTTTAGATGGATTTCAGACCTGGATGTGGAGGGGGTTGGGATTTGTTCTTCCTTTTCTTTTTCTTGGATATGTAAGTAAATAATGCTATTACTCCCATTCTGAGTTTGATAAATGCCCTCTTTTCTTATTAAGAAGATATACCTAGCTAAAAACTAGTGTGAGCTGCATCGGTGTTTCTAATGAAACAGTAATGATGAAAAGGTAAATTATACACCGTGAAAAGATGAAAAATTTCTTAATGTATAGTAAGGAATGTACGTGCTATGGAACACTACAAGTTCATTAACATGCCACAGGTTTTGTTTGAATAGCTGATCATAATGCACAACTGAGCAAAAAGAACTCGACTGGAGTATTCCATTGCATTCATTTGTTTCCACCACTCTATTAATGATTCCTTATATGTTTCAGTGCCACTGTTAGGTAATTGTCAAATTTTCTTCACTATTCTTTACCAGGTTTTCCAGTTTTACAATGCCTACACTTTGGTAGCTCTTTACTACCATCCTGATTGCCGTGAATGGCAGGTAATGTTATTTAAGATACACGTACTTCATGTTCCTTTAACCTCAGCAACTTTCAGACTTCTGTATTTCGTGTCAATCAAAAATTACGTACCAGTAAATTTTGGCTGAAAGAAGCAGGGGAAGAAATAAATGACAAAAAGCTAATGTATCTGGAGCCTTTTACCTGGTTCTCAAAAACCTAAAAATCGGCATTGAAATATTGTGTATGAGAATATATATGAAATATATATTTGTTCTCGCCCCTTTCCCACTACCCTCCCCTCCATCACTTTTGGGCCACTACGTAGACTAATGCAGGCCTGCAATACATGTCACTTATCTAGATTTTTATTCTCTTGCTTCTAGGTAATGGCAACAGGTGTGACCTTTTTTGTTCTATTTTTTGGAAACTTCACAACTCTTCTCTACGTATTGAAACAGAAAATGACAAAGGGCCAGAAGATGAGAGTCCCATGTGGTTAAAGGATTATCTAGTCTTCCTCATGTCTTTCTCATGTGTAAAAAGATGAAGAGAAGCTATTTCAACAATATTTAGATTTACTCTTCATTAGATGAGATCAAATTAAAAATAAATTTAAGGTAATTATTGTGAACTTTATGATCTGCCAACACATCTTGGCCATTACATCTTGGCTAACACATAGCCAATAGTTAGCCAAACAGTGGCTGACAGTTAAGCAACACAAGCCGTGCTCTTACTGACTTTTTGAAAGATTATTGGAATAGACACAGAACTTCCAAGTATTATCATTAATACACACGAAGCCCAAGCTTAAAAAAATGTTCAAATTAAGATGAATAAATTTATACAGCTTTCATAGGACAAAGGATTTTTTTTTTTTGAATCAGAACATTAAATTCAAATTTAAAAAAATAAAATTATTTTATGGTTATTTTATGACTCGATTATTATAGTACTGAGGACATAAACATGTGCTTCTAAATTAAAACAGTGCAAACATGCTCTTTTTTCTCGTATGAGCAACACATTTGGTCAGGAGAAGAGGATTACAAAATGTGCGAAAAAAATGGGAAAAACCTCATAATCTGAGAAAAAAAAACTGTTTTATTTTACATTAAAAATTAATCTAAGGACGCAGTCTGAGTAATAATTATAAATTCAACACACAAACACAGTCCACGCTAAGTTTATTGTGGGTTTTTATTAATATCTGAACATTTTCTTAACTTCAAGGGCAACTTACCCCCCAAAATGACCCATTTTTAAGAGAAAGTACATCAAATGAGAAACACAAAAATTCAATTTTTAGAGGGGATAGAGCATCC